TTAATGTTTATCGCAATAAAGTGATAAAACTCTGTAAAAGTGCACGTCGAAGATTCTATAACGACAAAATCAATCACATGAACCAGAGCAATCCTAAAAAGTGGTGGGACGGTATCAAGCAGTTGTCAGGAATGTCCAACCCCCCTCCGTTTAATAGTCTAGCCATAAACGGCACCGTCTTGAGAGACTTTGAACTTGCCACCGTCATTAATGAATCCTTCTGCAGTGCTGCTGCTGATATACCGCATTTAAATTTCACTCCAGTACCCGTTTCCAATGTTCCTGATAGATACGTCATTACGCGTGATGCTGTTGAACTTGCATTGGCAGGTGTTAACGATCGTAAGTCTGTAGGACCTGATGAGATCCCCAATTGGATCCTGAAAACATGTGCCGCAAATATTAGCTACCCTGTATGCTCCATGTTTAACTCTTCCATTAGAGAAGGTCGTGTACCTGATCTGTGGAAATGCGCGGATGTTCTCCCTTTAAGCAAGATCCCTACACCGAAATCTATTGATACGGACCTTAGACCTATATCCCTCACGGCAGTACTGAGCAAGATCCTTGAGTCTTTCGTGTTCAATTGGCTTGCACCCATTGTTATGCCATTCATTGATCCCCTCCAGTTTGGCTGTGTGAAAAAGTCCTCAACGACTCACGCCCTCGTGCACCTAATCCACCATTGGCTTTCGGCCCTGGAAACACCTAATACCATTATTCGATCCTGCTTTATTGATTTTTCCAAAGCGTTTGATCGAATTGACCATAACATTCTAATGCGCAAATTACAACTCCTCAACGTTCCACCCGTGTTATTAAACTGGTGTTCAAGTTTCCTTCAAGGCAGACAACAGCGCGTTAAATTAAAATCTTGTAAATCTGATTGGAAAGAAATCAATGCTGGAGTTCCGCAAGGCACAAAATTGGGGCCTTTGTTCTTTCTTATAATGGTCAATGATCTATCCAGTGAACTACCACTGTACAAGTACGTTGATGATTGTGCTATTTCTGAAGTTGTTAGAGTATGTGAACCGGATTTTCCAAAATTACAGCAAGAACTCGATAAGGTGTCTCAGTGGTCGAATGTGAACAACATGAAATTAAACGTAAAAAAACTAAAGATTTCACCGTGTCCTTCTTGATCAATCAACCCCCGGCACAACCCTTGCTTG